GTCCCCCCCCCCCCCAGCCTCAACAATCCTCACACTCCTGTGCTTGGCAATGCACTTCGGTTGCAATGCAATTTGGTCCGCAGTGTTGAAACTATATGATCCTGGCCGAAAAGCGACTTTTAGCAATGCCGCCCTTCACACCGCGGTGCTACTGTTATTATTACAATTGAATCTCTGCTCACTCCCCTCCCTACGCCAATCGCACTCCGGCTGTGATTGCTTGGGTCTGACTTCGCGAGTGTCGGTGCGCTTCCAAACCCCCCAGTCCGCCCCTCGCCCTCCTTCCCCCCTCCCTCCCTTTTCCGCGCCCAGGCGAGAGCAGCCGATTGGCAGAACGGTGCTTTCAAGAACAATAACAGTGGGGGGAGCCGGGGCCCCGGGGAGCCTCCCCGCCCCCCGGCCCGGTTGCGCGGCTCACGCCCCCCGCGGGGTCCCCACCTCCGCGCCCACCCCGCGGGGTGAGCGGCGCGCCCGGCCCGCCCCCGGCGCCCACCATGTACGCCTTTGTGCGGTTCCTGGAGGACAACGTCTGCTACGCTCTGCCGGTGTCGTGCGTGCGCGACTTCAGCCCCCGCTCGCGACTGGATTTTGACAACCAGAAGGTGTACGCCGTGTACCGGGGCCCGGAGGAGCTGGGCGCCGAGCCCGAGAGCCCCCCGCGCGCCCCCGGGGATTGGGGCGCGCTGTTGCTCCACAAGGCCCAGATCCTGGCGCTGGCAGGTGAGCGAGCGGGCGGGAGGGGGGCAGGAGGGGGGTACTGGGACCGGGTGGACGGGGCAGGGACCGGGAGAGGCCGGGCGCGGCGGCGACGGGGCTGAGGAGCCGCCTCTTGCTCCTGTCTCCCCCTCCAGCCCCTTGGGCTTTCCTTTGGGGTGCAAGTGTCTGTAGGAGGCCAGACCAGTTGTAAAGACCTTTGGGTCCCCATTGTCTTCCCTGCTTCCCTGAGGCTCCCGCGCTGTGCTGTCCGTCTGCCTGATCTTTCTTGAATCTATTCTCTGTGCTCCTTCATTTCCCCTTCCTCTTGCTATCTGCCTGTACAATCATTTCTCCATCTCTCAACATTTTTTAACCTGTCATATAGTTGCTTCCCTCTCTGCTGCTGTCTCCTTAAGTTTGTCAAACTGCCTCTCTCTCCCTCTTAAGGCCTCTGCTGTCTCCTTGGAGCAGTGGGCAAGGCAGGTATGTTAGATCTTCAGGTGGAAGGCCTTTGCCACAGAAAGAATCAATGACATACATCCTTGTTCCATCTGGACCATCATTAGTCAGGACAAGGAGGCCCAACCTCAGTGCACTGGCCAGGTGGCAGAGGACCTAAGTTAGTCCTCACCTCCACACCCCTTTTTGCAACTCTTGAGAAAGGCTCCCTGAGAGAGCTGGGGGCCAGGAAACAGTTTCTAGGCCAAGGTAGGGCCTGACCTTCCAACCCTGCTCACTCTGGTGGACAGGAGAGAGACAGAAAGACAAGCATCAGATGATACAGAGATTCAACTGGTGTAAGTGCCATGCAGAGACATGGCTTCCTTTTTAAGAGAAGACAGCAGCCCTCTTTCCTAGCCATTTCCAGAAGACTTAGGTAGGTGCATTCCCAACAGGGAAGAGAAAGTTATTGTCTCAACATGGAGGCTTTTAGCTGCTACTGGTAAGAATACTGCCCTAGAGTGAGCAGAGACAGTGAGTCTGCCTCCCCCCACCTAGAAGACAACCCCAAAGATGAGCTGAATGAAGACACTCTCAGTACTCCGCAGGTTTGACACCTTTCTTACCTTTTCCTAGGGTCCTGTGTTTCTTCTCATTTAGCCTGAAGATGAAGTTAGCATGTACCATAGTAACTTGCCCAGGGTCCCAAGGCAAGTTGTCAGTGGAGCTCAGCCTCATGACTGATTCCTTTCTATCGCCTCCTGTTGCTTTTAGAAACTAGGTTTGTGGGAATAAAGAATTGGAAACTAATCAATACCAGGTGGCCCTCTTTTTGATAGTTCCAGTCTTTACCACATCCCTGATAAGCCATGGGGCATAGGGCTGTAGGTCCTTCTACCACCACATACCATTATCCAGAAAAAAATGACTGAGGGAAGACAGGCTTTAGAACAGGGAGGCCTTTAGAGCTGATTAGGTTTTATTCTGCTTGCTTGCCTTTAATTACCTAGGGAAGGGATTAGGAATTTATTCAACAAGAGAATAAGCCTGAGGAATTATACCTAGGTGTAATCTTAGCTTCCCTTTTGCTGGAAGAAAAGAAAGCATGCTTCTTGATGAATCTGTCATATATAGATCTGCAAGAGCCCAAGAAAGTGGAAGTGATGGGTGTCAGAAGTCAGTGGTAAAGGCCTTCATATGGAATGGCTGTTCCCCACTTTTAGAGTTTGTTGACCTGCCTCTCCACTCAAGCACTCATCCATCCACCCATTTATTCAGCAAGATGGACCATCACGCTGTGCTCTTCAAGAACAACAGAGAGGTTAGTTAGGCAGATGGCAGCCTCCACCAACTCTTATTTTAAAATCAACACAAGTTGTCATGGGTATTTTAAAATACATACATACATACATACATATATACATACATACATACATACAAAACCTAGGCAGCGCCTAGAAACTTAGCAGAGCAGATGAGGAGACATGTGGTACTAGTTTCAGCAAAGTAAGTTAAGTAAGTTTTTCTTGGGAGGAGAAAAGAAAAGAGGTAGATGGGGTAAGACAATAACTTGAGATTGGCTAGACCACATTTTGAATTCCAGTCAGCAGGTTAATTTTTAAATTGGAGCTGTTTCCCTAGGTGCAGACCTGATTGGAACAGTCTGCGTGAACCTGGGAATTCATTTATACTGGAAGAACTCTCCTATGTGTCTTAAAACCCCATCTTAAGCTTGGTGGCTCTGAGAATTATCATGGTGACTTTACCTGAAGAGCTCATTTGTTGGAAATAGAGTTGTACTGCAGCACCAAGTTGAGGAGACAGTGCCTCAAGAGGAAGGCAGAGGTGGCTTTGTGTTTGTGAATTAACTGGTTAATCAATTAATCCCTTTTTGGCACCAGTAGCATGATTTCAGGAAAGGCTTCTTGACCACTCTATGGCTTTCACTGAGAAGTGTGTTAACTTTATTAATATTTTCACAAGCCAATTGAGAGCTGTTTTGAGGTGTCCCTTCCTGTATACCCAGGAAATATAAAAGCCAAACTGCTGTGCGACTTTGCATTTTGCTGCCCACAGTATCATAAGTCATGGTTTCACTGTGTCAAACCCTAGTGCATGGCTCTCTTATACCTAATTATAATACCAGCTCAAAGAAAAGCAAAGCCCACCTTTGATGACAGTCTTGCTGTGTGTTTATCATTGCTGTTAGTACTCTTAGCACCCCTTGATAGATATTGCTGTGTTCTTATTTCCATTTGATAGATGAGGACACTGAAGTTGAGACCTCCCTCCAGCCACACATTAATAAATGACAAAGCCAGAAATGCACATGTCTTCCAGTGCTAGGCCCCTGCTTGGTTGACAAGCCACACAGCATGGTGTGGAAGGAATAAAAAGAAAGGGAAAAATGTCAATGAAGTGTGTAGCTCAAGGCAACTTTTCCAGCCAGAGGAAAATGTTAGTTTCTGAGTATTCAAACGCATTATGCTCTTCTTCCTCTGTTACCTAACCAACCTCCCTTCTGCAGGGCACACTTCTCCACTTTGCCTCTCAGTTATCAGCTGCTGGATAAAATCCTCTGAAAGGAGCTCCTGTCCCTTATGAAGGGTTCATATAAGTCAAGAATTGAATCCCCTGTGAGTTATAGTCTCTTTTTTTATTTGTTTGCCACACAGGTTTTGAATTGATAACTTCCCATGTAAATAGCCCACTATTGTCTAACTGCAGTCTAGCTTGCTTGTGGTAACATTTGTGGGGTTTGAGGGCTCAAAACTAGTCCCTCCAGGCTTTAATAGTCTTACAATTCTATGTCATTTTCCTGGGCCCCTGTACTATGTAATTATTGCCTGTGTATACTAAATTCCCATTTTGGTCAAGCGTGCCCTGTTTCTTGTAGGCCAGACCCAGTACTGTAATAACTGGATACACCAGTGTCCAGAGTCCAGGTACTGTGATTACAATGACGGCATGATCCAGGGAAACCAGTGGTTAACTTTTTAGGTCTCACTATATAGGGTTTCTGTGGAATGACAGAGTGATGAAGAAGAAATAAACATTGTCTTCAGGGAGTGTATAGTGAGTGCTAAGCAGAGGTAGAAGCCCAGCCTTGGTGGAGCACAGAGAAGGGATCAATTCAGGAGGGTTCCACTAGCACTGAATGTATTCAGTCTTGCTTAGGCTCACTCTAAACCAGTGCCATATCCAGTCTCTAGTGCATTTACTAGAGTGCATTCAGAATTATTTTCTGAGGACCTGGAGAGATGGCTCAGTGGTTAAGAGCACTGGTTGCTCTTGCAGAGGACTCGGGTTTCATTCCCAGCACCCACATGGTGGCTAACAACCATCCTTAATTCCGGTTCCAGGGGAATTTGATGTCCTCTTCTGACCTCCTCAGGCATTGCATGACACAGGTATATTTATATGCATACAGGCAATACACTCGTACCTATAAAATAAAAATAATAAATGAAATATATACACATATAAGAAAAGAATTATTTCTGAGACAGTGTCTTATCAATTGATTGCTGTTCTTAGAACCTTCTATAGGTCCCTAGGGTCTGCTTAATAAAGCTTTAGCTTCTTAGCCTAGCATTCATAACCCTATAGACCGCCCCCCCAATCCTACCTTACTTCAGCCTCACCCACCATTCCCCCTTGCCCTAGACTTGTGGTATTTCTTTCTACTCTGTGAACACACCCTCCCAAACTCCTCCCAGCCTGCCAGGGTGGATTACTCATTGTCTCACAGAGACCTCTGGCTGAGTAGAGTTGATCTTCCTTGGAGAAAGCAGACATGGGGCACATTCATGGTCTAGTCAGCTGAGGGCTGGAGAGAGTTGTCAAAGTACACTGGAAGCACCCTGCCTTAAGGGAAGTGCCTGATCTTCCCTCTGCCCCCAAGGAGTCTCTCCCTCCTAAGAACTCTCTTTGTACTTTGCTTGTTCCATGCTTTTGACTTGTAGCATTTTATGATTGTTTTGGTTAGTCAGTGTTCCTGCCAGATAATGAACTTGTCCAGGACTGGAGCCTGCTGTCTCTGTCTCTACATCACAGTACCCAACTCCTAGTCTTCTTGGGTCAGGCTGTGTTGAACTCACACACTTTGGGAAGACAAGTGCAAGGAAATAGAAGGCCACAAACATTCCATGCTTTTGACTTGTAGCATTTTATGATTGTTTTGGTTAGTCAGTGTTCCTGCCAGATAATGAACTTGTCCAGGACTGGAGCCTGCTGTCTCTGTCTCTACATCACAGTACCCAACTCCTAGTCTTCTTGGGTCAGGCTGTGTTGAACTCACACACTTTGGGAAGACAAGTGCAAGGAAATAGAAGGCCACAAACATCTAAGCAACGTCGTGTGTGTGTGTGTGTGTGTGTGTGTGTGTGTGTGTGTTTTTAGAACAGAAACCCACAGAGGGATTTTTGAGGTTTCATTCAACTTTGTTCATCTGGAAAAAGTCAACATTCTTTATCACCCCCTTGACTAGGAGAAGGCCCACACGGGGAAAATAACTTCCAAAGCCATGTTCTTCTGCTTTGGTAAGTTTAGCTCATTCAGGGCTCAGGTCCCAGCTTGGCATT